CCTGCACCGACCCGCAGCCGCGCGCCCGCTCGCGGCCCTGACCCCGCGCTCCCCGAAGCCTTTCATCCCCACCCGAGCCCCGCGCGGGAGCAGCTTCTAGCTGTAGTTCCAGCCCGAAGTGCAACCCCCCCCCCCCGGGGCTGCCTGCGGTCCCTCGCCAGACCGCATCGACGGGGCAGGGCCCGGGAGGACACCGCCGCCTGGACAGGAGGGACGCGGCCGCCTCCGATACGCCTGACCCTACCCGGCCCGGACCACCCCAACCTCGCCTTACACGGCTTTGAAAACGCCGACCCAAACCCGTGGCAACTCCTATTTGAGTTTCTTTATGAAAAGACCTGTTTTTGGTCCACTCCGTAGCACTTATTTTCAAGTATAATACAGCTCCCCAACTCCCTCTACTACTTGGTCAAGTAACCCTACACATCTTTGCCTCCCCTTACATCCAAAGTCACTCTATTGTTTGTCGAAGTCCTCACCCCGCAGAAGTGGTCGCTGTGTGACACCTGCTCGCTCCCGGCCCCTACCTTACCAGTGGGCACTGTCAGCCTCGGCCCCGCTCGCCCCCAGAGAATAGCGGCGCTGATGGACACTCCAACACCCCAGCCTAACGTGGAGAGTGGAGGCGGCAATTTTAAAAAACAAGACGAGGTCGGGGAGGGGAGGAAGGCTTTCTTTCAAACCCGGACAGCCATCCGTTCCGTTCCTCTCCTGGCCTGCAGGGCGGGCCGGGCCTTACACTTGCGCAGCACCAAGTTGAAACACCTTTTCCTCCAAGCTGCTCTAGGGTCAAGAGCCAAGAAAGGCGAGGAGCTCTTCAAGTCGGATATTTCCCCAAGATTCCCGCAGGGTCCGCGCAGCGCAGGCGAACCCCGTGTGGCTGAGCCCTGACCTCCACACGCGCCCTCGAGCGGGGCAGAGAAAGGACAAAAAGCGCGCAAGTGCGGGTGGGTCATCTGTGCTAGAGACACCGAAGGCACCGGATTCGGTTGTGTGTTAAATGAAAACCACAGTTCTCTGCATTCGTCAATAGTTTGAGTCTGCATAGTTGATGCTACTAAGGCTTTGGTAAAAGTTATCAAAGACGGACAACTATATTACACGGACGAACTCTTTACTTAAAAATAATTCCATAAATAAGCCACACATGTTTTGAATGGCCGGTGATATTTGTGTGTCTTCCGTGGTTATTTCTATTAGATAAAGCCATGCATTTCTTATTTTCTAAGGGCACTAAATGTCAGTGCTGGGTCGTTGCTATGGTTAATTTCCAGATTTTCTTGTAAACAAATGCATACATGTCCCTAGTCCCTTTACAAGTTACAGAATATTTAAAGAGCAAATTGAAAGTTGTTTTCTTCTTCCTCATCCAAATTTTTAACAAACCCCACTTCAAGTCAGTATTGACCGCCCAGCAAAATGACTGCAACCGGAAACTCTCCCCAAGGTACCTTTCAATTCCTCCGCAAACTTCAGTTTTAACAGTAACCACATTTTAAAAATTCCTCTCTAGAAAGCGAAGCAAATCAAAGGTAGCAAGGCAAGGAAACTTTCTGGTGTGACTTAGATGAACTGATCACTCCTGCCCAGACAATTAGCTTTGGGGAAGCAGTGAGACTTTGGCGATTAAGAAGCATTTTGTTGTCCCCCGACTTGAGGATTCTTCCTACAGGGCAGAAACTGTGCACGTCATTGCATTGTCTTGGGTTCTCGCCCCGGATGTTGGCCGAGCTTCGCATCCTCGCTCGATAGATAGAAGCGCTGGGACGGGCGGGTTTGTCTGCGAAAGTGTGAGGCGTGGTTGCGACGTGAGCATCCTCCTTGACAGAGGATGCTTCGAGGACCAGGCTCGGGAGCGAAAGGGTTAAGCCAGACCCGGTCCACAGCAGCTGGACTTGCCCAGTTTTGTCTCTTAAAATCAACGTCTCCGGGCTGAGGCCAGCCAATCCGCGGCCCGGAGCGCCCCGGACTGCCCCGAGAGGGGCGTGGTCTACTCGAGGGGCGTGGCCTGCGGCTGTCACTCAGGGGTGAAGAATGACACCCGGGCGGGTGGGGGGGTACGGAGGAACGCAGGCAAAGGAAAGAGAAGAAACAGATAAATCCGGGGCACAGGGTAACGCGGTGCCCTGCTCCTCTCCGAGCCCAGCGGCCGCCGCAGCCGGGGGCGGGATCCGCACAGCCTGCCCCGCAGGGCAGAGGGGCCGGCCGGGGCGCAGCCCACAGGCGCGGAG